CTCGGATGGATGGATGGATGGATGGATGGATGGATGGATGGATGGATGGATGGATGGATGGATGGATGGATGGATGGATTCATTATTCAAGTTCCAGATTAAAAAAAAAAAAAAACTAAAAATAATCTGGATCAGATTTTGGTTTTATAAAAGCCCAAACATGTTTACAGCCACAAGCGGAAGTTTTAGAAGCACTTAAACCTAAAACAACTTATGTAAACAAAAACCTCCATGACTGTCGGCAACAATTAAAATCCTTTTTAAAGGCAGGTGGAGTGCTGCTGGGTAGTTATGGTTTTCCTTAGCCAAAAAAAAAAAAACAACATTCCAGACAGCTAGATAAGTCCTTTATTAGATATTTCAGCTCTTCAGATGTTTAAAATAAATTTATAGAGCTTTAAATACCGGGGTTCAAAACAATTGTGTGGGTATCGATATCAGTGCATTAGAAAACAATGGACCAAATAAGTTTAGGTAGTGCAAAACTATAATTTTGTTGTGTTTTTGATTTATTGGGACAAATGACCTGTTCTCCAAAATAAAAACTATAGGAAAAAAATATCTTCAGGCAAACACAAATGGTATGGTATAAAGTTTATTCATTTTAAAAAGTACAAAACAATTCCATAACAATATAAAAAGATACAAGAGATTTAAAATGAAAAGCAGCAGAAAGAAGAAAAAAATCTTATTATGTCTGCCCCTTTTTTCAAACAATTAGTTCAATCATAATAATCTTCAAGTAACAGAACAAAATGAATAACTCTTTCTAATTTTTCTAATAGGCATCAAGTTTGAGTTTTACGCACAAACGACAAAATACACACTCCATCATTATCTGAGAGACTTTCTGCCACCTCGGATCAGTTGTCAGTTTTAATTCAGGACAAAAACATCATTAAGTCTGCTGGCATGAAGACATTGAAATATTATCAAAATGATAAGCAGCTTGTGATTCTTATTTTTCCTTTTATTGGTATTAAACCACTGCTTGATGATCTGGTTCACTATTCAAACCAGAATTCAAGTGTAAAAAGTTCTCATTGCACAAAGTATTTGCTGTCTTTTATGAAAATCTTGTCCCAACCTGACTCTGTGCATGATAAAAAACAGCAAAAACAACTTGTCGAACTGCTTCAATAATCCAAATATTAGGTTTTTGTTTAGATTTTGTAGACATTATTATCTTTTTATCAGTACAGCCTTCATTTCCTGCTTATCTAAACATCAGAAAGTTCTTTGGAATTGTTCATAAATTTAAACCAGAGCTTTTAAATCTTCAAACGAAAATAGCCTGCTGTTCTCACGAGGTTCTTTTTTTTTAACATTATGTCTATTTAAAAAAAACCTTATGTCTATTTTCATTAAAAGCTCATCTATATTTGTTTCAGGTAATACACCATGCTTGTATTGAACACTCATCAGAGCGGTGGAATAGGTGTAGTTGGGGTGGAGTATGGTGTATTTGTTTTCCTGAGGTTTCTGTCTACATTACAGAGCATTTCTCGAGTTCCTGGAAAGTAGCTGCTGAGTGCACAAAGCTCGTAAAGATGTCCTGAATGACAAGAAAAAGTCACCTTTTATCGAGGAGAATGCCAGTTTCTGTAACCACATAAAGCTTTGCTAAAATAATAAAGTAGAACAAAACTAACACATTTAATTAAAATGTTATTTCTTGTGGAATGTAAGAATAAACAATTGTCTGTACGTCTGTTTTTTTCCCTGTAGGATGTGTTTTGGTCTCTCCAAAGAAATGTTCAGATGATTGGATCACATAAGAAATGTCCCGAGCACATTTAAATCTTTATGTTTTTACATCTTAAGCCTCTAATCAAAAGTAGAGATACATTTTAGTACCATAGTCATGAACTTCAGTCTTGTGGCTCTTTCGTCAATCATTAACCCAAAGAGACACCTTGACTCCATCACTTAATGCACAGCAAAGAGCTTCAGATGAAGCAACACCATCTTTACAGTGAGTCCCTGAGACAACAATTCATTGTTCTAAAGAGGCTGAAGGTTTACGTCACAGCTTGTTATATTAAATGTCTTATCTCCGCTCCCATACTGTACATTCACATGTGTATAATTATAGCCTTTGTCACCACCTTGTTTCAGTAGATCTGGCATCTACAAACTTTAATTCATTCTGACTAAACAAGTTCAAAAATATCTAAAACTAAACGTAATACTTTATTTATCTATAAATCATTTGCTTGTGTTTCCATCTTAATTTAATTACAACTCAGTTCGTTACTTTAGACTTTGATGTAAACTATTTGGAAAGCAGTCTGATGGAGGCTGAGTGTCTCCTGGACGTCTTTGATCCTCCTCCTGAAGGAATGCAACACATCACTGCTACTCCTCAAACAGGAGGCCTGAAGGAGGCCTAAAAACATCCACTTTACTGAAGAGCTCATAAAACTGATGGATACCCCCCCAACATGAGTCACGTTTCTGCTTTACGCTCTTATTTACGTATTTTCTGTGAATATAAAACATTGATATTCATAAATTACTTTGAATCATAATAGTGTTAAAATATTAATGTGTGTTTCATGCTCAGCACTAATAAAAGACCGGATCAGTCGTTTTGTAAACTCTGATTTATTACAGCTAAATTGATGAATTATTCATATATCTGTTAAGTTATATCTACTCACTATCTGTGAAGAATAATTTGTGTCTTTTAAAACTCATATTTATGGCTATTTAACTTTAAATTTGTATATTCTTGTTGAAACGTACCATCTTTTGTTGTGTTCAAATTACAGCTTAAAGAGGAAACCTTGTCGGAAAAACCTACCTGATAAGCAAGATAAGACACGTTTAGTGCTTATGTTTTTGATTAAATCATTTTTTTGCAACCAGATTGATTAAACCAGATTTATTTATTTATTTATTTATTATGAGGGCCACAGCACTTTTATGCAAAAACTCCCCCAACCAGATATCTCCAGCCTGTGACACAGAGGCAGCTTGATGTATGTGCACAGGTGTAGTAAAGATTGTTTGTGCTTTTCATGACGGAGTGGGGGGGGGCTGGAGATGGTCACGGGTGAGGATAAAAGAGCTGCAGCACCTGTGACTTATTTGCCTCCGTTAAGTTGGAACCATGGACAGGAGCGTTCTCTCAGCTGCTGCGATGCTTTTATTATCAGGTAATTAACCTTCAGATGTGAGCTTTTTTTTTTAACAGAGTTTTTAAAGTGTGAACAATGTATTTTATTTTTGTGTTAATCAGGTATGTGTGCAGGTGAGGGTATTTTACCCCCAGGACCCCTGAGTGGGGCTGTAGCAGGCACAGTGCGGTTCACCACCGACCTCCCCTCCACCCAGACTCCATTTCTGTCAGTGAGCTGGAGCTTCAAAGAAGTGAACATCATCACCTCCACAAGCGTCAACGTCAGCGCTCCTGGATACGCCAACAGGATCTCGTTAGACCGATCCACAGGAGCCCTGGAGCTCAGAAACCTGGTGCAGGAGGACAGCGGGGACTACACAGTCACCGTCACACCTGATGGGGGGCAGCAGAAACTCGGGAAGATTACGCTCAATGTGTATGGTAGGCCTTTTATAGGTGATGTGATGTGAATCAAAAAGAAAGAAAAGTAGAAAAATAAAGAGAAATAAGAGACAGTTTCCCATGAATCCTGCTCTTAATTTGAGTTAAATTTATACAAATTATGGAAAATACGTCAAGAAATTCAAACTGATCAGTTCCTGACACAGAAAAGGATTTCAAAGTATTAATCACTTACAAAATAAAAGATGATGACTTTCACTATTAGTGAAGGATTACTGTTGGAACATTTCTCCTAAATAATCTACACATCTGTTTAAATAAATTTTAGAATAATTAATACTTTTGAAAATATAGGTTAGGAAATAATTTACCCTTTTAAATCTTCTTGTTCTGTACTTTAAGACAATATGCCTCATCTGATTAATCTAGTAGTTGACAAAATGTTATAAGTCAAAGGAAACAAGAAGAGTTATATTTAAAGAGTATAAAATCTGTATTGGGGTTTGCTTGTGTCTCACAAGGCTTAAGAATGGATTCATTCTGAACAAATTATTATACATTTAATTAATTCATATTGTGGATTAATGAAAGATTTGTTCATAATTATAACTAACTTTGAGTTAAATCATTTTTTTTACTTTATGTAGAGCTTTACAATCATTTTAACTCATGGTATGCTGATCTATTTTCACTAAGCTGAAACCTTTTATTCCTAACCAGTCCCGATAACAGGAGTCACCATCCGCAGTCCTGCAGCCACCCTGATAGAAGGTCAAAGCTCCACCAACCTGAGCTGTGACGCCTTCGGCTCCATCAGCACCAGAGAGTGGCTGAAGGACGGCCTTCCTCTCCAGCTCAGTAACAGCATCAGCTTATCAGTGGACAACAGGACGGTGTTGATGCAGCCCGTCCTCAGCTCCAGCAGAGGCGTCTACGAGTGTCGACTCAGCAACCCCGTCAGCACCATGGTGGCGACTCTTAATCTCATTGTTAACTGTAAGTGGAAACTAACTCATTTACTGCAGTTCTTGAAGACATCTAAGCACAGGTTTACGGTCTAACATGTCAGATTTGTCTGTGCAGATGGACCGTATAGCACATCCATTATTGGACCACCAGAAGCTTCGTTTGGCCACAGAGTGACACTGCAGTGCACAGCAGATTCTTTCCCACCAGCAAACTTCAGCTGGAGGTTTAACAGCAACAAGACACATGTCAGTAATTCCTTGTATGTCATAGAGACGTTTGAGGAGAGAAACATGGGGAATTATACATGCACAGCCAGAAATATGGTGACCATGAAGGAAAACTCTTCAGTTCTGAATCTGAGAGGTGAGAGCTTCATGATTAGATTTATAGTTTTTACTTATTGTTCTTGTTTTTGGCAAGAATGAATCATTTTGACTGAAGCTAATCACTGCTCTCTTTATAATCTGCAGCGTCCTGCAGCGCTTTCTGCTGGTCGTTTTCTGTGCTGATCATCTGTGGATTTATTCTGAGAGGGTTGGTGTAAAAACACCAGGTGAGCTATTTTATAAAAACTAATCATTATTGTTGATAATTCCTAATCATTTTTATTGACACTGTTTATTTATTTATTTTTCTGCAGGCTCACTCTCCATGTGAGGAAAAGTCGTCATAATGCTATTTTTGTTTCAAGTTTTGACAGATGAGACTGATGCAACAAACCTGAAATAAAGTGCAAAAATATCAACACCTTAAAATAAATCATCTATAGTTAAAAAAAAAAAAAAACTCTTGTGGAGAAATATTTGGATTAGATAATAACACATCAGTCTTCCTTGTTGTTTGTTGATTTATATTTCATGTTTGAGTGAATCATGTCCAAGTGTTTGTGTTTGCAGCTGTTTTTACAAAACTGTATTAAAATAAATTTATTTTCTGTTGTACTGAATGATTAAAAGTCCTTGATTGAATCAGAGGTTGGTTTAGTTTGAAGATAAAGGGACTGTAATTTTCCACAAAAAGCCTCAAGGACTGATGGTAGATTTGTCTCTTTTGAGCAGCTCGTACAGAAGTTTAATATTCACAAGTCACAGTTTTTCAGATATTTGCAACTGAGACATTTTGTGAGGTTTAACTCTGATCGTTTTCCTTTGTATGCCTCTAAACATTTTGTGGTTAAGATTTTGACATGTAGGTCTGATACCAATTAGTAAGATCTATACACTGCTCAGTTCATACCATGAAACCAGTTTGGACTCCCTTACCTGAAATGGTAAACGGACCTGGAGGAATCCATGTCAGACTCAATCTGGAGAAAGATCATTAAAAACATTTATTCATCCTCAGTGTGTCAGAGACATGCTGTAATTCAATTCAATGTAGTGCACAGGCTGCACTGGTCCAAAAACAAGCTGTCTGAGATCAAAGCCAACCTGGACCCCGTATGTAATCATTGTAAACAAATTCCAGTTACACTCTTGCATACATTCTGGACCTGTCCCAAACTGCGGACCCTGTACACCCATCACCATTTATCTCGATGTTTGGGGTGGTCCCTGTGGATATGTCCTTCAGAAAGTATGAGAAGAACATGATTGCTTTTGGCTCTCTTTTGGCCAGAAGATTGGTTTTGTGCAACTGGAAGGATCCACACCCCTCAGCATATGTACAATGGATTAGAGAGGTGATGTATCATATCCATCTGGAAAAAATAAGATATACCCTGAAGGGTTCTGTTAAAAGATTTTGGGACATGTGGCAGCCTTTTATGTTGCATGTGGAAAACGTGTCAATGCCTGTGTAATTCATTTTAATTAATTTATGTATGTGTGACTGATCCGGTGTGGGAGGGTTTTTGTTTGTTTGTTTTATGTTCTTTATGTTTTATATGTTCAATATGAAAAAATAAATAAATAAAAACTTTGATTTCAAAAAAGCCTTAAGGATTATTTGATCAAAATCACATTATGAACAAATTATTAGGATTTTTTTTGTGTGTTTGTTTCTGGCTGTCTACTAACAGATTCTAAAATCTGAATGTGTTATTGTGTTTTCCCTGAAAACAGAATTCCCTTCTTGGTGACACAACGTTCAAAAGTTACTAGATTCTTTCTGAGCTGTGTCTTTATCAGTTGTATTCCTTGATTCACCATTAATACTACTAATTTACATTTACAATTTTAACAAGCTAACTGCATGGATTTATGACCTTTTTACTTTACTGGGCACCTGAGAGTAGCTGAACTGGAGACTCTGGTGGAGGTAAATAAATGTCACTTCTGAGCAGCTGTGCTTGACATGAAGTCACTGGTCAAAGGTTTACTTTCCAATGATCTGACACTTTATGGTTTTAAAGGGTCAATGCAATCTTTAACTTACATTCTATCCTTTAATTTGATTTCTATGCAAGTTGGCAAAGATGAATTTTCAAAAAGAAATGAATAAAAAGTCCTTTAAACACCACGTATTTGGTTTGTTGTCTGTAGGATTATGTGTTCACTCTTAACCAAGATAAGGAAGTGCTCTTCTTGTGATTTACTTATGTGACAGCAGAAAGTACAAAACTTCTATAACCTTGAGGGGAACGACAACATATTATGATCCTCTATCCCCTGCCTCTTCATGTCTTGTTTTCTGCTGTTCCTCTGCACTTTCAGCTCATCAACCCTTATTCACTGCACCTGTTCCTGACCTTATTTAAGAACTCCTTTCACCTCCCCAACCTGCCAGATTATCATACCTCTCACAGTTTCTGATTATCCAGTCATTTTGTTCATACCTGACGTTCACGCCTTGATCTTTGGATTTCGACCTCACGCCTCGTCATTAGGATTTACTAGTGATGGGTTTATGATGAGTCATGAAGCGTTTCAACACATTGCCAAACTGTATTGATACTGTGTCGATACTGTGTCACTGCATACTGACACCTGCTGGAACTTAAAAATCCCTACAGGCAACCTATTTGACAGACTCAACGGACATTGTTTGATGACCTACTATATACAATAATATAATTTAAGTAATTGTATTTTATATTATTTCATATTTTCATTTAAATTTAAAATATATTTGATATTTTTAGATACAGTCAATAAATAATGTGAACATGTATCATAACGTGAAAATATAAGTGAACGTGTTGAGAATGTGCTTGTGGACCGGGATTGATTTTTTAATTTTTTTTATTTATTTTTTATTTTTTACAAATTTTTATTTAAAAAAAAACAAGTTTGGCTGGCAGTCCTTCAGGATGAAATTCAGCAGAGCCTCGTCTGCTTCCTGGAAGCTTGATGGTTAGAAATGAGATAAAGAATAAATTAATAGGAAATGATTATCAATAAAGCAACTGTGTACAACAAGTTGTAGAATGGTTGTATACCTGAGTTTACCCTGGATGTATCTGATACTTCATTCTCATGCCTGGCCCTATAATGCAGTGATCTATTGTTTTAATTTTTTTGTCTTTTTTCCAAGAGAGCCATATTGACAGATCAAATTCAAGGGGAGAGCCACGATATCACCCCAAGTCACTCAAAGAAAAAAAAAATGAACAACCCACCTATGAACAAAAAAAGAAACACAGGCAGCTCATTATCTGTTTAAACAAAATGTACATTAGTACTGAGATGAGAAGCTGTGGTGCATGTCCTTGACTTTCTTCATGTTGTATTTGTAATTTGTTGTTGCAGCCCCAGTGAGACATTCAAGATGGGCATGGGTCAGTGGGTTTCTCTGTTTCTGCTTGATAGTGTTCATGGTTTAAAATGTTGACTCACAGGTGTAAAAAATTCAGCTTTTAGCTGTTACCCCAGTCCCATGAAGAAAACACAAGCCAACAATAACAATGAATACCAAAGTCCATGCTCAACAATGAATATACTGTAATATGTGTACGGATGAAGATGCCCCCTTCATATTTCCGCCTGCCCCCACATGTAACCATGCCTAGAACCAGCCCTGTAATTCTGCTACTTCCTTCACCACAGATGACAGAAGGTGCAGAGACACGCACGGCCGGTAATGATCAGCTGATCCATCTGAGGTTAACAGGAATTTTTTTTTACCTCTACCGGACGATTTGACCTGCCTCCTCCTCAACAAGTAGATTAACACAATATTATATTGTGCATTCTCATCTTGTCTTTGCGCTGTATGATTCGTGAAACCACATCATAGAAGCCCGAGCCAACATGCGCAATTATTGCATAATGAGCCGGCACGTTTTAAAAACGTGTTGGCTGTGCTGGTATATTGTTGTAAGCTGTCACGAGAGCCACCATAAAACACAGCGAGCCACGCAAGAGTATGCATCAGCATTGAGGAGGTGGATTTATTTAAATATGAAAGCTCTGTCAAACAAATGCGACATTTAACCTGCAGAAAATAATATGAATGGTAAACTGAGAGTGACGTTGAAATGAATTTGAATTCAGATACAGCAAGGAAATCAAAACAAATAGCTTATTTTCCGATATGAGATCAAAATGGTCCCACATGACAGAAACCTTTCTTTTGGTTTGAGGCTGCTTCATAATTCTTGAATTTAAAGATGACCCACAAAAGTTCAAAGATTATTTTGGTAGATGCATCCCGTTGACAGATATGCTTATAAACAACTGGTGGGGAGTGGTGGCGCAGAGGTTAGAGAGGTGGGCTTGAGATCCGAAGATCGCCGGTTCACGCCCCGGCCCCGACAACATCAAAATTGTGGGTGGGTTAGGTGAAACACCCACACTTGCCTCCACCCTCATTCGCCCCACTCTGGGCCCATGAGCAAGGCCCTTAACCCCCACCATGTGCTCCCTAAACAGGTCTCTCTTGAAAATGAGTTCTCGTGGCTCAATGAGACTAACCTGGATAAATAAAGGCTAAATGAAAAAAAAAATAAAAAAATAAACACAGTTTGGCACGTCAGTGTCAGTTTGAAACAGCTCCTGTATCGGTCACGTGACTTTCTAATAGCATTACGCGCACTGACGGGGGGTTTGCTCTACGAGCTCGATGCATGCGCCGACGCATCGGTGGTGCTGGACCCATCACTAGGATTTACCAGTCTGCCTGCTCCTCGCCTGATTGTGTCTGCCCATCTGACCCTGATTTCGACTGCTTCCTCCACAAACGGATTTCTGGATTACAGTTTGACCCTTTGGATTTGTTATTGGAACTCTGACTCCCTGTGTATGACCCCCGCTTGTGTTTCTGGACCTGGTTCTTCGGTTCTCCCCTCTGACCACACTCTCCTCGGCTCTGCCTTGCAGCTGCGCTTCACGGAGTGATGGCGATGTCATCCTGCCCAACGCCTTCAGGTGGCCCCCACCTCCTGTCTGAGAAGGTGTCTCTCACTCCACCTGCCTGTGAAAACGTGTCCTCACAGTTTGATTCTGACTCCTCTTGCAGCTGCAAAACCAATAAAACGGTTGTTTTTACACTCTTGTCTAGCTGAATTCTGAATTTAAAAAACTGTTTTCTGACCAGTCTCTATGTAAGACTTTGTTAACCATTGTAAGATAATATAATTAAAAATGTAACGGTAAACTGAAAAACGTGCACTCTCTCACAGCTGTTTTTTAAAATAATGTCTTTCTGTGAGAATCTGTTTTTATTGTTTTGTGTTCTTTAGATTTTGAGATCCTTGTTTTAGATCTGTTGTCATTTGT